GATCCGCATCAAGAAACGGAATTTTTGACTCGTTTTCCATTTCAAGAGTGAATTTTACTGCTGGATGGCAACAGTTAAATGTCTTCAGCAGTAGATTGGGGTCGTCACAAATAGTGAAAATGTCATCCACGTATCTTTTATACAGAAGCAGATTGTCAATGCTTGGCTTTAGTGAACCTCTCTCGAGGCTTGCCACGAAGCAATCTAATAGTAGTGGACGCAGCGTAGATCCCATTGCAATACCATCTTTTTCTCTGTAGATGGTGTCATTGAATGTGAACTGAACGTTCTGAGTGGATAGAAATCAGCTGTTTATTAATAAAAGTCATTCCTATCAGTTACTTTTCAGATTTTCTGGAAAGAAAAATGATAATTTCACTGAAATAAATACTGAGATAGTGCTTTAACATCGAGAAGTGGAATCCCACCTTCATGTGTCTCACGTATATCACATTAACAGTCATACACTCAGACTAGAATTCGTCAAGAGAATAACAGTCAAACTATTCTTGCAGCTTTACATGATCTTTATTAGTTTATCAGATGAAAATAATTCGAAGTTTGCATCGGCAATGTTAGTCACACCGCTAAAAATATTTTCCGAAGAACAATCTCAGGGAATGCTCCTGTTTCAGCGAAAGCAACTAAAGGATCTTAAGGTCAGTAATCGGTAGGAAAAATATCAGTCGAAGTCACAACAAATGAAGATCACAAATAGGGAATGTTTCTCAGTCCTGATGACCTAACTGTATGTAGAGGTGAGGATTCCTGACTCTCACCCAGGCGGCCCGGGTTCGACTCCCGGCGCGAGAGCACTTTGTGCGTCGGTGGCAAAGAGGATAGGACTCCTCTGACCATGTATATGGTCCGCGGTTCGAGCCCACACCGACGTACACCTGATACCTATGGTCGGCCTGCGAAATTTGCGTAACCGATAACCATGCTGAAAACTCCATACTTGCACCAAAAATACGGTGTGCAATCAAGCTGTAATCAAAAATATAAACATTATAAAATATCTTTGCCTGTCAAATGTCAAATTGAATGCTCTAGACTAAGTGGCTTTTTATCAGAAATCAGCCAATGGTCCAAGGGAAACGGTCTCACCTTAATCCCCTCCAAATGCCAAACAGTCAATTTCACCTTTAGGCACAAATCTGACCTAAACAAACTGGTTACCACTCACGAGGTGTGCAACAGAGATGGATGGCACTGAAATAGAAACCAAGTCGGAAATTAAGGGCCTAGGCGTCATTGTATCTGCTGATCTTTCCTGGTCGTCTCATATCTTGACGATTTCTAAGAAAATATTCCGTCTTACCTTCTACATCAAGAAGTTAAGACATTCTGGTATAACCCAACCCTCACTCCTACAATTCGTTAACTCTCGTATTCTGCCTATTATTCTCTATTGTTCCCCTTAGTCTTTCCTGGGCTATTGAAGTAAGACTATACCTCATTACGCAGGATGTTGAAGGTTGTCAGCAGAGTAAGCCGCAGGGTGCCACTTAACGAGCTTGTTAATACTCTGGTTGACAGGCACATGGACTCATGTGAAAAATGGGCTAAATCCATTTCATCTGTCTAACTCACACCACCCTCTTCATTCACAACTCTCCCCTTGTGTCTATCTCATCAGGCAGAAACAGAAGCCTGTATAGAAAACTATATGCTCGCACTAGTAAGTACGAAAACTCGACCATACCCTACTTAGCTCGTGTTCTGTGCGATAAAGAAAGCATTAGGCGTGAAACCTTTAACTTAATAAATAGTCAGTAGAACAACTGGATCTCGTCTTTCCAACTCATATCATTTTTAGGTACAACGTTTTTCCTTCTTTCTTGTCCCTTTCTCTCTCTTTCTTTCTTTCTTTTTTCTGTTATGTGCAGCTTTGTTTCTTTCTTCTGCTTACGCCAGTAAATATGCTAGAACCTACTTTTCTGACACCTTCTAACACTCTATTTAATTTTGGCTTTGCTACCGACATACTAATATGTTGTTATCAAAACTAACTGAGATTACCCTTAATCTATGCAGGACTTTATTTATTGTTACTGTACTAACTGGATGCAATATTGTGGTAAAATGCTGAGAATTCCATTCTGTATCGCAAGTACTGTTTCGGAGTAAAGCTATTATCATTCATTCAATATACAGAATGCACAGAAAATGATACGGTTACTTTATTCTGCATAACTGAATGTGTTAACTGATTTCGGTCGTGTTTGTGGAAGGTTGGTGATGTGTGATTTGTTTCTCAATACCGATTTCATTGACTATGACGTTTCTAAAGCTTCTGAATATTACCACAAAAATATTCTTCACCTTCCGTTACGTTTACCACAGTGATTTCATTTTCATAAATTTAATTAAGTAAATTAAATGGAGAAATGTATCTTCAAGATCAGGCAACTGTTGGGAAATGAGAACTAATGTTTAGTTTTAATTTTCTGTAACGCATTTTGACTCATTTGTTCACCTGGTCCTTTGGAACGGATCATATGACGAGAGGTTGCATAAAGTGTCCTTCTACGCTTGCATTACGTCAGCTCAGGTTCAATCTAATTGTCGTTCACAATAATTTGAATGAATAGAACCACCTAAATATGAATATTTTGACACTTAATCATGACAGACATCATCGTGATAACCCACAGGTGGTCGTAAACTAGGAAATACAGACCGATAGTCACTCCTATTTCTTTCAGCTTTGACTTTGCTGCGCTGAGACTCTGTATCAGCAACTGTGTCCGCTTTACCTTCGGCGGAAGCTCAATGGCTGAGCCTAGGTAATCATGCATCAACACAGGAACCATGCTCAAATGTACAACCCTTTTAACCGAACACATATGTAGCCCCGCATACCTCTCCCTTATGAATTTATCTCATTGAAACTATTTATTTATCTGTCTACTTTTTTGTTCGCTCTTTTCTTTTAACTCTTTCATAAAATGCTTCGATCACTTTGCGCTCTTGTATCTGTCCCTTCACATAACCCAACAGTTTTCGAATCTATATCACGTAAATCATTACAACATTATTCGCATTAAAACTGATTGATTTGTGCGGACAATTTTTAATGATCTAAATAAACAAAGGTCATTCTCGAGCATTTCGTGAATTAGCTAACGAAGTGATCTGCCAACAATTCCATGAATGGCATACCTGTGAGTACATCAATGAAAGACTGAAATAGAAGACTAGGCCACTCTGAGCTTGTAATATGCTTTCATCGTTGTATTGGATTGTTGTATGCGAATATCATACATTTTGATTTTCTATGTGAATTCATATCAGGTTAAATATGCGCTCAACTAAGAACAGTGGTCAGAGGGAAAGCAAATATGTGTTGAAATTAATACGAGCAATCAGAGCAAGCTGATACAAATGTCTATTGGTACTAGCTAGGGTGTGTAATAATCACAAGTGATATATATCATCAAATGCTTGCCTCGTGTTCATATTTTGTAACTTCTTGTCATTAATTTTTCAATATACAGTTAGAGGAATGACACTAAGTACACCTGTTGAATCGATTGAACCTGCCATGGAGATGATTTTATCTGTAATACAGCCGGTATTTTTGAACCCTGACTTCACAGATGAGATGCCTGAATTCTCTTTGTGGAATGTTGACGTCGGCATAATTGTAAATCATGTTCTTCAAATCAAGCGTGATATCCTGTTGAGTGTGGTTAAAAACGTTTCCGGTGACAAATGAGATGCAGTGGCGTGTGGTCAATTACATTCTGCAAATTTGCCTGATCCATTAAAAATGCTTACTAGTGAACAACAACTACACAGCAGTGTTACGTGAAATATTCACACTGTTTGTGTGTCTATCTGTCTACATATGTATCAGAAGTATCCAGAGTTTGTGTGATATGAAATGGGATGTTAATGGAGACATGTATCCAAAATGTAAATTACGTAATGGGTAGAAAACGCATCCATAGAAGTCATAGAACATTATCCCTCTTGCCTACGAAAAAGTAACAGTGTACCAATAAAGAGTGCTGTAGTTCAACGTTTAGTCAACACTGGTTACTCAGTATGCACGGAGAATTCATTCAGTGTCACATATAAAGTCAAAAAGAGCCTCACGAAAACGGTAAGCTACCGTATACTTTGCAATGCCAAAGCCCTAGCAATCCGGATAGAAAACCCTGATTCGTGCACACAGACGAAACTTCTATACCCCCTCCTTCTGCCTTGAATATAATTTCAAGCCCCATGACTTTGTTGATAATGTTTGTTTTCTTTTTTTGGTTTTTGAATTGTTGCATCGAATCTTAGTAAGATCCTATTCTTAACCAACCCTTTATTTACTCTTCCTACCTATTACAGAACATATTTTTGGACATGTGTCTCCATTAACATCCCATTTCATATTACGCAACTCTTGTCAATACCTAGCCATCTTCACCCCCATCCCTACTTATGATTTTGTTTATTCATGGCATTTTAGAAACATTTAGACGACGTTAACAGCAGTAACTCCAACTAATTTTACCTATATTTAATTTGACAATCCTGATGTAAACCCACCTGCACAAAATAATAATATATAAATGCGATTGTACAGCTAAGCGAATGAATTCGCCGCCGAAAAGAGACTCTTCTCTGAACTTTTTTTTATATCTAAAATTTACAATCAAACACACATATGGGTGTGTACATAATTTGTTTGTGAGAAATTATAAAGCTAGACATTTCCCTACGACGTTGCAAAAGGCGACGGGATAATAAAGTAGGAATACTTTACCGACGAAATTTAAGAAAATATATGACAGTTCCCTCAAATTGCTTGTAAAACTAAGCTGCGGCTACAAATTCACACATGGGGATCACTTGTGAAGTAATTTTAAGGAGTGATGAAAAGCAGTTACTGATACAGGAATTAGTTGGTTTCAAGACAACAGTCAGTGTATAAATTTAACCATTTATTTTTCAAGAATCATGAAAGGTCGAAAACTGACACAGTGTCAGCCTATTATATTTCAACGTTTTAAGTCAGTTTTAGAGAATACGACAGCAGATTCCAGGAATAGTGCCACCAACTCAGTGAATTCAAGGAAGACTATAAACACTGGCGAATGGACTGTTTTATCAGGAGAATATTTTAACCACACTGTAGACAAGTATATAGCCTGCAATTTCAAAAAAGTCAAAATGTAAATATTTTCCAAAATATATCAGGTTAGTTAAATAAATACTGACGTAGCTAACATTGATTTTTGATGTCAAACTGTAAACCCTCTAGCTGAGTAAAATCTTCCAGTATGCTTTTACAATGCGTATTTCTGACTCACCTGCTGTAAAATTGGGAAATTACCGAGTTAAGACACTGAACCCACAAAGATCAGATACAGCAGCATATGAAACACATAACTAACACATAGATGAGTTTCAGTATAAACAGTTTTAAATATGTTTTATCGGAACTTACAAGAGTTATTGAGGTATCGAGGAATATTCCAGCTAATATGTCGAATGGAAACTGAAATAAGAAAATGAAGGGTGTGAAGAGTAGTTTGAAAGATTGCATATGGTGTATCTTACAGAATAAAGATTACTGATGAACGTTGCTATGTGACTGTACTTTTAGTGTGGTTCTTGATGAAAAGCGATTCATTGGTCTTTGATTTATGTGATTTTATCAGGCGAAAACATCTCTGATGATGAACTGTTCTAGCCAAAAGTTCTTCCAATAGAGACACCTTGTTCTTGGTCAAATCTATCAGCAATCATGTCCCTGCAAATGAACCGTTGAAAGTCAGTGTTATGCTCCCTAATAACTGGTTGTCTGTGGGAAGTAACATGAAGTTCTAGTGAGAATTCGTAACCAGTAATGTCTATCATGTCATGGAAAATAGCAGTTTCTTGAGGATGACACTGGCCAGTATTTGCACTCTGTATACAGCGAATTGCAATCGACTTGAATACACTAGTTATTAGGTCGTCTTCTGGTGTCTTTCTGGTCCACAATCTTGCCCTGTGACCGAAACGTTCTGGGTTCCAACTTCTTTGGATGAATACAGCTAGGATACATGGACGTTTCCGAGTGTAGCTAATCTTGACTGAGAAGTGAGGGTTGTCTGGAAGCGTTTATTCAGTGGAAGAGTTATGATCATTTAGTCCTTTCGCAAATACACATTTGTGACTGATGAGATCTCTCTCCGCCTATTAACCAGTCACCGTTACCACGTCCCTTAATTCAAAATGATTGGTCACCAGACAATGTATATCCTCCTAGGAAACTCTCCAATGTATTTGTGCATGGTATAATGTTAAATAAGGAAAATCAATTGCAAAATTCACACTTTAGACAAGTCGCTTACACCATATATTCGAAAAAGAATGTAGAAGACATTTCCAATGATGAATAGGAAGATAGGCAGTAGGAAGAAGAAGTAATATCCTTTGAATGTAAATCGTATTGATCTGAAACCAAGTAAAATTGCTGTTCCTCCTGCGATTATTGTTAAAGCGAATGAAATCAAGCTGTATTTAGGCCAATGCTATAACACAACACAGAAACAACGCCTGTCCACGAAAGGAACTAGAAAGGACAATAATAACATATCAGGAAATTTCATAAATTTTAACTAGACTGTAACACGTGTGATTTATGTGTTCATATCACACTGATCACATTTATTTACTTCATGATATTTCATTACTGGCAGAGTTTATGAGATCATCACTTATTTATCAACAAATGACGTCGGCTATTTGTCATCAGATTCATATTTGATTGGGGAATTGACGTGAAGTCTGTTTTCAGGTCAATAAACAAGTGATATGAACTGAAACTCATACGAATTTCGATTCATGATCATTTACCAGTGTGTTAGTAAACTTGAGGTGTTATTTTTTGCATTTGCAGGTGTTGTTTCCATTCATCTCTTTATTATCAAAGAGACACGTGTATGTTTAATCGTTCACTCAGCGAAGTTTCTTCATTAAAGGCATTTTGGTCTCGCCTCAGCTGTGGGCAGTAGACGAATACGAAGTCTATTGGAAAGATTCAGTGGGATACGACGAATTACTTTGAAGCCTCTCGTTTTCTATACTACATGACCACTATCAATTAAATGTGACGAAATGGAGCTACGGATTGTTTTCGTCTGTCCTTTGTCAAACCACGATGGGAGATGTCCACTAACACGTTGGCTAAGCTGTCTCGTAGTACGCCCAACTTAACTGTCACCGCAGGTGCAGGTGAATTGATAAATGCACAGAGATGTTGCAAAACTATCTAGCTTATCCTTCGTTTGCATCTCAATCATTCGTTGGCTAGAGAATGACAAAAATAGGTGCGCTGCGTAACATGTTCTCCGTATACTCCTGGAAAGCCTCTGTAACAAAGTCTCACTTGATAAGTTACCATTAAATTGTAACTTAATAAATAGAGGCTTTTTACGTGCAGCCAGAGTCTCAGGTTTTCTCTCTGATGTTTTCGTATGTTTCTTTACGAAACTACACGGATAGCCTATCTCCATCAAGGAATCGTGAATATATTCAAATTCCTTTTGTACGAGGTCATCTGTACATATCTTTCTTGCTCTACTCGCAAGACATTTAACAACATTCCTTTTATATTTAATGGGCACGTAACTAATGAAGTGTGTGTATTGCCATGTGAATGTGCTTTTTCTATACACGCTTCTCCCAAGTGACCCATCTTCTCGCCTACTTAGCAAGATATCCAGAAAATGCAGTTTATTCTCTAGTTCCTCTTCACAAGTAAAAGAAAGCGAAGGGTGGACGCTGTTGAATTTCGGCAACAATTCATCCATGTCAACATTCCCATCAGCTAAGATAAATGTATCACCGACATGTCGGTAATACATATCAAACTCCTTGATGATGTCCTTCAATTTCCCGTTTTAAGGTTTTGCGAGAAAGAAGTCCGCTAACATTGGGCCTAATGGTGATCTCATAGCTATTCCATCTACTTGTCGGTAGTAAGAATTATTGAAGACAAAGTGAACATTCATTGTGTATTTGAGAAGTAATTCTTTGAGGCTACACAAGGGGATTCCTAAGTTCAATTATCTTTCGATGATTTCTTAACAAATGTAATCCACTGTCTCCATAAGCGGTACATTAGTGAATAGTGATGACACATCCATGGATAACATGCTTTTATACCTCACATTAGTCTCGGATATTTTAGAAATAAAGTCGAAGACATCACCAATTCTATGTTGCACGATTTCTCTGTGCAAAGGACCCAGATTCTTAGCTGACCACTTCGCTGTTTCATGATATGAAGAGTTATACATATCTAAAACAGGGAGAATAGGAATACCCGGTTTGTGCACTTTGAGTAGACCGTAAAGTCATGGGGTACTGGTAACCGTTGTTTTCAAGTACTCATACGTGGTTGATGATAATACTCCTATATGGTTCAGCTTTCCGGCATTTTGGTCCATTGTAGGACAATGTCACCATCCTGGAGAGAATAAAGAATGCATTGGATATAGAACTCTGCCCGTCGCAACAAGCTGCATTCAGAAGAGGCGAATCATATGCTGATCATATTTCAGCTCTATGAATCGTTATTGGACAAAGCAGATAATGGCAGTCAAATCTCTACCTCAACAAATTCACCGACTTCGAAGAGACAATGGCTTCGACAGACAGCACTGACAGAGAAGTAATTTGGAAACTAATTCAACACTATGGCTTACCTCAATTCTTTGTCAACCTCATTCAACAGCTGGTTATATGACAATGTCACGTGCCGACTGATCCACAACGGAAAATTCATCGAGGTGTTCGAAATGTATACAGGAGTCAGACAAGGCTAGCTGCCTATTATCACTGAGGGACTACATTGTGAGTCAGACTGTTGGGGGCGAGGAGTCAGGAATATGCTTGACGGCCGATAAGAAGACTCTAGAAGATCTAGATTTCGAAGATGACATATGTATAATGTCTCAAAAACTCCAAGACTTACAGGCGAAAACCAAGAAAATGGCTGAAGAAGGAGGCAGGAAAAACAGGACTCCAAGTGAACATAGAGAAAGTGGAGGTGATGAAGATAAAAAATCAACAGCAACAACAGCCAGCACCAACTGGAGAGATTCAACAGAGGTAAACTCCTTCATTTATCTGGGAAGCATAGTTTCAACTACACGCCAAGATGTCAAAGCCAATCAGAATCGGGAAAGCAAGGTACGCCTTCATCAACTTGAAACCAATTTGGAAATCTCCTGCACTGCACCTCAGCATAAAGAATAAGTATCAGATTTTCAACACTTATGTGAAATCGGTCTTTCTATAAGGGTCAAAACTTGATCAGTGTGTCAATAGAAGGATTTCTAACAGCCTGCTGCAGACTTCCACCAAAAGCTGCCCACCTGACTGGCTGGCTACATACTAAAGATCAAATGGACAGAAAGAATTAGCAACAAGAAACTCTGGCTGGGAACAAACCCACAAGTAAGAGGCTATTGCTCCACAAATATGTAGGAGAAAGTGGAGATGAATCGGGCGTAAATTGAGGAGGCCGCCGAATGTCGTCACGCGAAATTCAGGCCACAGCTCGAGTGGAATCCAAATGAGAAGCGACGAGTGGTTTGTCGGCACGAAGATGACATGGAGGAGATCGTGTGGGAAAGAGATGAGATAGTTTGGTCGATCATGAACCCAGTTGAAGAGGACGGAGCACAGAAAACAGAACAAGGTGAAGATGTGTTGTTGAAGCCTTATGTTCCACTTGCAAGCTATGAGAATAATAATAATAACAGGACAAAGAATTCTTAATATTGATCTCATCACGATTCTTGTTTACGCGTGGTTTATGTAGTGTGATGCATTTCAATCTAATGCGTCAAATTTCCCTTTAACTTCTAACTCCTAAGATGACTAACCTTTAGTGTGATCAGTGTTGTCTCTTTACCTGATCATTTCTTCACTGCTGTCTATAAAGTACATTTGATCCATTTTCTGCTAATTTGATTACTCATTCGAATCAGAGAAGGTTAACATGAGTTTATCTAATAACTGAGGAAATTTTCACCTGACACTGAATATGATGACTTCCAGTCTATTCACAATTTCATGCCTACGGTGAGATTGTTTTGATCCATATATGAGGTGATAAGAATGAAAATCATTTAATGAAAGAATTTATTATGCAAGAAAAACGTTTTCTTAATTCTCAACTTACTGCTAACATCACTGAAAAGATATAAATTCCATAATTCATCCGCAATCTCCGGGAAAACAATATTGACATGGTCACGATGAATCCAATGATGCTGAAGAGAATTGTGGTGGAAAAAATAATTTGAGTGTTTACATCAGCACCAACCTGAAATTATTTTGTGACAGGAATAATATATATATATATATATACTCTTTTCACCTATCACTAAAGTCGACTCAGTCAGTGTGACATAATCCGTCGTTTGACAGTTAAGAATGCTTTTGAATAAAATTATAAAAACCCATAGAGAATTTATTTTATTTTATTTTTGGCAATTATTTTATTTCGGCAATAGCAAAAACGTAAAATTCAGACCTATTGCCATCACTTCCCCGTTTCTAAAGCTCATGGAAAAACTAGTACTTCTTAAACTCAAACCCTTCCTTAAAAGCTTCGAAGACCCCAAACAATTTGCCTACAGACAGGGTTGGAGTACTTTAGACACTGCAGTCGTCTTACACAACAGTATCGTCTCATCATTAGATAAAGGTGCCAAATACGTCCGCTGCACGTTTCTCGACTTCACTTCTGCTTTCAACTCTGTACCTAGATGTCTCTTGATAAATAAGCTCTCCATGACACAAACTGGTCCTGGGTCACTAGCTGGTTGCATTCCTACTTTTCAAACAGAATCCTCTGTTGTGCTCACTGAAGCTGGTGTCCTCCAAGGCGCTGTACTTTCCCCACTTCTCTTTTCTTACTTTCTACATTACCTACAATCTTCAAATGACGTTAATTTTGTCAAATATGCTGACGACCAGACTGTAACTTTGCCTGTCAAATGTCAAATTGAATGCTCTAAACTAAGTGGCTTTTTATCAGAAATCAGCCAATGGTCCAAAGGAAACGGTCTCGCCTTAAACCCCTCCAAATGCCAAACAGTCAATTTCACCTTTAGGCACAAATCTGACCTAAACAAACTGGTTACCACTCACGAGGTGTGCAACAGAGATGGATGGCACTGAAATAGAAACCAAGTCGGAAATTAAGGGCCTAGGCGTCATTGTATCTGCTGATCTTTCCTGGTCGTCTCATATCTTGACGATTTCTAAGAAAATATTCCGTCTTACCTTCTACATCAAGAAGTTAAGACATTCTGGTATAACCCAACCCTCACTCCTACAATTCGTTAACTCTCGTATTCTGCCTATTATTCTCTATTGTTCCCCTTAGTCTTTCCTGGGCTATTGAAGAAAGACTATATATTATTACGTAGGATGTTGAAGGTTGTCAGCAGAGTAAGCCACAGGGTGCCACTTAACCAGCTTGTTAATACTCTGGTTGACAGGCACATGGACTCATGTGAAAAATGGGCTAAATCCATTTTATCTATCTAACTCACACCACCCTCTTCATTCACAACTCTCCCCTTGTGTCTATCTCATCAGGCAGAAACAGAAGCCTGTATAGAAAACTATATGCTCGCACTAGTAAGTACGAAAACTCGACCATACCCTACTTAGCTCGTGTTCTGTGCGATAAAGAAAGCATTAGGCGTGAAACCTTTAACTTAATAAATAGTCAGTAGAACAACTGGATCTAGTCTTTCCAACTCATATTATTTATAGGTACAACGTTTTTCCTTCTTTCTTGTCCCTTTCTCTCTCTTTCTTTCTTTCTTTTTTCTGTTATGTGCAGCTTTGTTTCTTTCTTCTGCTTACGCCAATAAATATGCTAGAACCTACTTTTCTGACACCTTCTAACACTCTATTTAATTTTGGCTTTGCTACCGACACACTAATATGTTGTTATCAAAACTAACTGAGATTACCCTTAATCTATGCAGGACTTTATTTATTGTTACTGTACTAACTGGATGCAATATTGTAGTAAAATGCTGAGAATTCCATTCTGTATCGCAAGTACTGTTTTGGAATGAGGCTATTATTATTATTACCTTGATGTCTAATCAACTGCATGCAGCCTGAACAATGAACCTTTAGCTGTTTTATTACAATTCATTGAAGATAAAATGCTGAATAGTAATTAGGAATGATCAGGGCATATAATAGTAATGAATCGAAATTTTTAGGTTAGGAAAATATATGAAAACATCGCCGTTCATACGGTAAGCGCTGTGTTCGACGTCTCTAGTATAAGACAAAAGATGAACAGTAAAAGTAACAAGAAGATATTGGGGTACATGAAATATACTTCTATTATGGGTAAAATTTATTTTAATAAAGTCTCAGTGTTTGTTATACAGATGACGTTTCGAGCACAATTTATTACTGCTCATAATCATATCAAGGTACTTAAAATTTTCTAACATCGTTTATATAATTCCATTATTTTTCATCGTTTGACTTGATTGACAGTAGTATTTTCCATATTTCCAGTATGAGTGATAAGTCATTCCTATTGCACGTGTTGGATGTAGATTCTACGATCAAAGTTCAGTAATAAAACTCTTTCTCTCCGCCTACCTAGATTACTTCTTAGAACTTTAACCCTCTCCCACCCAACTTATTGTGTGATTGTGTGTTACTGCATGCAGTGCGATTGCTATTCAATTCTGAATTCATTATCTTCTCGGGGTCAACCATTCCTACCTTAGCTAAATTCTTATATCCCGACAATCTGCTAGCCCCGAACTTATATCAGTGATGCATGAAATATTATTATTATTTATTATTATCATTGTTCCCTTGGGTTCCTAGTGGAACATAGGGCTTCAACTGCACGTCTCCACCTGCTTCTGTCTTCCTTCTGCTGTACTTTTCACCTGCATCCATGTTAGTCCATACTGTTTCAGCTCCTCTTCACACGATCTCCTACATGTCACCCTTGCACTGACGTCCCACTCGCCGCTTCCCTTTCGGGCTCCACTCGAGCAATGGCCTCACTGGCGATGTCACTCACCGGCCTCCTCAGTGAGTGTCCAATCCATCTCCACTTTCTCCTGCATATTTGTTGGTTGGCGATTCGTTCTTGTTTTGTTTCTTTGTGCCCATAGTTTCTTGTTGGTGATTCTTTCAAGATTACGTGATTCACCAGAAAATTACTAATTAACGAAGCAAATAGGAAAAATGATAATCATCAGTTAAACTCATTCAGTCAGACTTAAGATACACTAAACGTGGCTTTTAATTGATGAAGGTATAACGGAAAAAGAGCAGAAAGAAATCAACGTTTGCATTAATTAGAAGATGTTTTAATCAAGTGACGAAGAAATCTGATCTATCAAGGTAGAAATGGATTAATCACAGTTTGTTTTTTGGATAGAAAATTCCGATTTTGACAGTTTCAAAGCAATGGTCTCTGTGCCTCCAAATAGCTTAATATTGTTTCTTTACTCATAACCTACCGAGAAGATGGGTCAGTAAAACGATCTGTCTATAGAAAGTCCACATGGACGGGACATTATCTAAATTATCATAGTTTCTGTCCACTACAATATAAAAAGGCGTTGGTCAAATATTTGTTCAAGCGCATTCACCGTATATCTATTGCCGATACAAGTGTGGAAGAAAGACAACACCTCACTGAAATATTGTTAGATAACAATTACCCACTGAGATTTATTAGGCATTACGGAATTGTCAACCATATAGCTTTACCAATCCAATCAGTTCCCAAAAAGGATGTTTACATATCCTTGCCGTTTAGAGGTGATCAACAAAGTCCAGTCACTAGACAAAGACTTAAGGCCGCACTTAATAGAACCTATTATGCAGCTAAACTTATCTTCATAGAGAAAACGAGAACTATGCAGTCCTGTAATCCCTCACATTATCCGAACGATAGTGTCACATCCCACTACGTTTATCAATCTACATGTATGTGTGCAGACACGTACATAGGGAAGATCCATTGGCCTCTGCATATTAGGGCTACAGAACACATTCCGAAGTTACTGCAACAACAAATGAAATCGTCAGACACAAATAACCCCGGAAATAGATGTCCAACATCATCTATAGCGAAGCATGTTATCGAAACAGATTATAAGGTTGATTTCAACGACGCCTTTAAGTCCATATATAAAACAAGGTTGGGTCACATACTTAAATTCATTGAAGTCTTAGCCATAAAAAGACTTAAACCTGTCTTATGCGTCCAAACGTTATTTGTTATCACCTTAAACCCGCCTTGGCAATCCAATTTAGAACCAAGGAACAATTTACTTCATAATATTTTCAACCCCTTTTGCCTTGCTTCCCTCTTTTTCTCTTTCCTACTCACACCTTTTGCGTCTCCCTACCCATTGTTTGTACACAATCTGATCTGTATTGTAATTATTCACGCCTTCTTGCCTTCTATAAAAACTGTGTATGACAAGTAACTGAGTGATCAGAATGTCCGAAATGTGTCGCGCCAATACATTACACGTTTCAGATAAACTACGTCTTCTTATTGTATTGTCGAAGTTTCTTTACTGTTGTAAAATGAGGATTCATGATGTCCACCTGATGTCCTGTTTCAATTAGATGTCTTGTGAGTGCATTTCTCAGGAAGTTTACTTGCTTTCAACCAAAGAATTATATCAGTATGTGGTAGGAAAATTTTAGATAGGCCTTTCCTTGTGTTTAATCAATATATCTGCTTTATCAGATACACATCAACGGATATATATCGTTTGAATTAATAAGGGGAATGCATCTGTCATCTTCTGACTGAAAAAAGGAACATGTTCCCGATACTTACTCTACTACTAGAGCTTACACTCCTACGAAAAATGTGTTGCTCATCAACGTCTAATACGCAGCATTCTGCGGATAGACTAATGAACTAAAATCTTTTCAAGTAGAATCTAAGTACGTCAGCTTATGTAACAAAACAAATGTATACAATTCAAAACTTCGCCTTTAATCTCCAGAGCACTATAACCTAATATGCTCTAATTCCAATAACTGAATATCACTGAAAGTCTGAGCATACAATGTTGATAAGCCTATAAGAAATCAACAATCCTACAGTCGTTGAAGTAGCACAGTCAGTTTGTCTATCAGTAATAATTTACCTCTGATTTGTAACTGATGATTTTGCAATATATGTTGCAGTAAAAAATTCCAGTCAAACTTTCTCCTTATCCGTTGAAATTTTGACATTTGATGGATAAATTCAGGAAGGAAATATGTTATTCATGACTTACCAACATATAATTACCACAATCGATAATAAGTAAGGACGAATTCCCTCCCAAATTCTGCTGTTACTGTTGATGCTTCTGGGAGTGAAATGAATGAAGTGAAATGTTTACTTACATCCCAGCCTTCAATGGGTCAAATATTGTTAACCACTGCATCAATGAACAACTGCTTGCTGCTTGTATTGTTAGTCTGAAAATAAATGAGAATAAATTGAACTTTTCGGAAGCTAAAACTCAAACTACAATGCACTTTAAAAAAGTATTTGACATGTCGACATTTTACGCAACACAAAATATTCTGCTAATCATCAGAGTGACACTATAACGGAAATCATGAAAAAGGTGTGTTGTTGAATGTTATGAAATTCTGGAAACCATATTTTGATCTCAAAATTACTGCTTTACTGAGAACTAGAAGTATTCCTGTATAGTTCATCAAAACGGTATTTTTTAAAAAGTAGCCGTCCGACTACATTTCATGACTCCAGTTACCACTATTTTTTTGTGTCATTAACCCCACGTAGTTTCCTAGCCAATTCTAAGCCTTGAAAAAGAGGAAAGGTTTGGTGTAGGGCTAGTGACCCTATACGCGAAGATCAAGCTTATCGCCAAGGATACATAAATGCACAGCCAAAATATAAAAAATGAATTTATTCTGCGCCGGAATCGGAGAAACAGAGTGACACAGGCTAGTGAAAGCTTCCTCGAAGCCAATTAACCAAGGCGTCTTCAAGCAATGAAGGCAAAAATACGCATAGTGGAACGGATTGTCTGAAGGATGTTAGGAACTGGCTGAGAAGGCTGCTCAAATTGGGAATGCTAGGAATCTGGGAGGGCAGGTGTAGGGTCAATAATCCACTCCGGTCTCCCAAATAACAATCACGAGCACACCCAGGAATGGCTTATCCCGATGTCACTAACAGCACTGAAAGCTCTTATGCAGTGGCAACCAATATCCTGCTTCAAGATAAGTAACAAGACGATTCGTTGCCAAATAGAAGAAAGTTACAATTATTCCATTCTAAACACCCACGAACAACACAGATTAAGCGAAGAAGGAAAGTTTCTATAGACAACAGGAAACAGTAAAAGACAACAAACCACATGGAGACGTTAAATTTCCAACGAGAAATAAGAATGATGGTCACAGAAAGAGAACTCACAATATGTCGATAGGCTATCATCGAAATGAATGAGAATGGTGAACTCTTTAAAGACTTCTGCGCCTTGACTGTTTCAGTGACTGCAGGTAGCGCGTAAAAGCACAAGGATATACATCAGGCGACATAGATTTCACCTGACGACCAAATTAAATTCAGATAATCCCCATCCAGGCATTAATGAAAACAAAACACGTAGATCAGCGAAGAGTCTCTTTTCGGCGAATTCATTTTCTTAGCTGTACAATCGCAAATATATATGCATTGTATTGTATGTATGTGTACATTAAGTTTGTCAAACAAAATTACAATTGGTTAAGGTTACTTTTAACTAAACAAGTGAATGTTGGTAATACAGGTCAAGAAAATTAAGTGTCAATGAAACTAGGGTAGTAAACAGGTGATAAGTTGTCACACTGAAAGTTCAGTTCATATTCAATGACACCATCTACAGACAAAAGGATGGTATTGCAATGGGATCTCCGTTGGGTCCACTACTATCAGATTGCTTCGTGGCAAGCCTCGAGAGAGGTTCACTAAAGCCAAGCATCGACAATTTGCGACTGTATAAAAGATACGTGGATGACATTTTCATTATTTGTGACAACAACAACGACCCCAATCTGCTGCTGAAGACATTTAACAATTGCCATCCAGCAATAAAATTCACTCTTGAAATGGAAAACGAGTCAAAAATTCCGTTTCTTGATGTGGAACTGACAAGAAGAGCTGATGGGAGCCTAAGAAGATCAATCCATAGAAAACCTACGTGGAATGGTCAACTAACAAGCTTCTATAGCTGGGTGCCCATTCAACAAAAGCGAAACTTAATTAAATCACTTGCTACCCGCATCCGACGCATCTGTAGTCCCGACGTTCTGGAAACAGAATTAGATATTCTGAGAGAAATATTCATCCAAAATGGATACCCAATAAGATTTATCGACAAAAATATGAAACCAATAATTCGGAAAAACGAAACTTTAACTGCGCCTAAAAAGAAAATCTACATGAATTTGGATTTCAAGGGAGATTTAGCAAGCGATATTCTCAAGAGAAGGATCACATCATCTCTGAGAAGAACGTTCTTTGCAGCAACGCTACGAATAGTGTTCTCCAGTCGCCCACTGATCTGCAGAAGCCTCAAGGACAAGATCCCGCATCTGGCCACTTCTATGTGCATATACCAGTTCACCTGCTGCTGTGGAGCCAGGTACATCGGTCGTTCGACGCGCATCCTGTCCAAGAGAATTCAAGAACATTATCCAGCATGGTTGCGAAAAGGCAATACTGGTGCAATAAGGAGTGCGATAATTGAACACCTGGTCAACACTGATCATTGCATTTCAACGAACGCCTCCTTCAAAGTAATCTACAGAGTCAAGAATAACATATCAAAGGCAATACGGTTTCGTCTCCTTTGCATCGCTGAAGCTCTGGCCATTCACATGGAAAAACCGGAGCTGTGCATACAAAAGAAGATTACTCAACCACTTCTACTCTCATGGTAACAATGTTTTGATTTGTTTTGAGCTTTTATTTTTTTTATTTTGATGACTTAATTTTGTTTCTTTGCCTGTTCCTTAATTGCTTATAATTCTTGTATTCACTTAAATCTCTTACATAGTTTCGTATTATCTACTTTGTTTCTATGTGCATCCTGAGTAAAACTCACTCATCAAACTATTCATATTATTATTGCATAACTTCTTTTAACAACTGTTTGTGACAACTCATCACCTTTGTTACTACCCTAGCACTTAATGGTCTTGACTTATATTACCAACCTTTACCTGTTTAGTTAAAATAACCTTAAGCAATTATAATTCTTGTATCCACTTAGATCTCTTACATAGTTTCGTATTATCTACTTTGTTTCTATGTGCATCCTGAGTAAAACTCACTATTATTATTACAACTGTTTGTGACAACTCATCATTTTTTTACTACCCTAGTTTCATTAGCACTTAATTTTCTTGACCTGTATTACCAACTTCACTTGTTTAGTTAAAAGTAACCTTAACCAATTGTAACTTTGTTTGACAAACTTAATGTACACATACATACAAAACAATGCATATATATTTGCGATTGTACAGCTAAGAAAATGAATTCGCCGAAAAGAGACTCTTCGCTGATCTACGTGTTTTGTTTTCATAAATTCAGATAAACGTCATCTTAGTCTCAAAAAGGTGGAGACGAAATCGAGAAGGAGGAAAGATGTAGTCTCACATCATTGTTTAATCCAGGAAACCCTGAAAATCAAGTTAAAAGACTTCAAAGCAGAAAGAGATAGACCGAAATTGAATTTCAACAACTAGAAAGTGAATAATGAAACTGCAAAGCACCCAATCGCTACAGCCATCAGAACAAAGTTAGAGACATTGTTCAGTACCGATGAGGAAATTTGTACATCTGTGATACTTAGGGAGAAGAAGAAGCAAGAAAATGATTAGCTCTCTAAGGACATACAGAAGCTAACGGAGAAAAGACGGATGTTGGGACAGAAGATGAACAACAATAGCAGAACTGTAGTTCAGTGTACAGCGAACTGAATGAAGAATCCGAGAAGAGTCTTAGGAAAGACAAAAGATAATTCTATGAGATACTGGCAAATGAAGCAGAAGAGGCTGCAGCTGAAAGAGACCTCAGGCAACTATACCAGATAACCAGGTGGCTACCCGAGAAGAGGTAGTTTCAGATGAAACCAGTGAAATATATTGAAGGAGACGTATTATTCAAAGAGGAAGTGAGAAGGAAACAATGAGCTGATCACTTCAAAGGATTCCTGAACTGACCCCTCTTGCAACTCATCCAGAAATACCACCACGAGAAGCAGGCCCATAACTGCCAGTGGACACCAATCCTCTAACAAAAAGCAGAAGTCCTGAACAGCATGAAGCTACTGAAAGGCAAATGGTTAGGCAGAAGAACCAGACATAATTTCTCCTGAGGCACTGAAAACGGATCCAGAGGCAATCCGGAGAATATGCGCACGTCAATTTAGGAAAACAATTACAAGGGAAGGAAGGTGCTTGCTGGCTGAAACCGAAACTTGAAAATCTATGGTTGGAAACCAAGAAGTTGACAGAACAGGCGGGCAGCGAAGACAGGACTCTGAATGAAAACAGAAAATTTTGAGGTTATGAAGATACTAACCAACAAGGGAAGTACTAATCACCGTCAGCGGGATAAGTTTAGAGGTTAGCCTATCCATCTATCTATGCAGGATTATTCCACCTATGAGTATGTCATAGTAGATAGGATAGAAAAGGCAAGACCAACTCATATTGATTATTGCAATCACCTGCAGCGCTCAGAATAAGGAAGAAGATTCACATTCTCAACACTAATATGGAGTCAGTCATTTCTTGTATTTGCTTCAGAGACTTGTCACAAGCGTTATTATAGGCATTTACAACAGGCAGAAAACATCTAACTTCTCGCCATACTGTAGACAAGGTGACCAGAAAGGATAAGCAACAAGGGATTCCGGGAACGAACCGACAAATATGCTGAATGAGACTGAGATTGATCGGATACACAGTGAGGAGACCAGTGAGTGACACCGTGGGCTAGGCCAACCCTCCTGCGACATACTTATAGCAAACGACAAGTAGGGCACGGATACGTGGGATAAATGGAGGAGATCATGTGAGAAGTTGAGAGGTTGTGGATCAATCAAAGTGGACCACGCAGAACAGGACAAAGTGAGGGTACGCTGTTGAATCTTTGTTTTCTAATGAAATAATAACGACAATAATGAAAATCAGACAATATGAAAATCAAAACCTGTGATATTTGCAAACAATAATCCGTTAAAACGATGCCCCACATAATAGAACTTAA